AGGGAGGGAGGGAAAGAGGAAGGAAAGGAGGGAGAAAGGAAGGAAGGAGGGAGGGAGGAAGGAGGAAGGGAGGGAGGGAGGAAGGGAGGGAGGAAGGGAAGAGGGAAGAAAGGAGGAAGGAAGGAAGAAGGAAGGAGGGAGGAAGGAAGAAAGGAGGAAGGAAGGAAAGAAGGAAGATTATTCAATAAATTTTGGCTTTGGATTAAGACAGAATTTTAACCATTTCTGAAGTGGTCCTGAACATACTTCTGCTATCTTTCATTATGTATTTACTTGAAGCAGTGGCTTTTCGTACTGAGAATTATAAAAATCAAAATACTGATGGGAGCTGGAGAGATGGGTCTGTGGTTAAGAGCACTGGCTGCTCTTCCAGAGGACCAGGGTTCACTTTTCAGCACCCATATGGCAGCTCACAACTGTCTGTAACTCCAGTTTCAGGGAATCTGACACCTTCTCTGGCTTCTGCAGGCACCGCACACAAATGGTGCACCCATGCATGCAGGAAAAACACTCATACACATTAATTAAAAAAAACAAAAAACAAAAAACAAAAAACTATCGAACTGAAAAACACCGAATGTGCTGTTTGTCCTGTAGCATCAGATATCTCACTGAGCCTTGTCTCTTTATGTAAAAATAAACAAGTATATCCACCTCGTTAGTGGAAAAAAATTGCTTTCATCTAAGTAGCTAAATTGTATCTACCAAAAAATGTTAAATATCATTTCATTTTGGCAAATGTTTGATTTTTTTATGCCTATTTTATATATCTAGAATCATGTAAAAAAAATTCTCAGGATCAGCTGGGAGTAGAAAGGGTTTAAGATACCAGGCAATGGTGGCACACTCCTTTAATCTCAGCACGGCAGAGGCAGAGGCAGAGGCAGAGGCAGAGGCAGAGGCAGAGGCAGAGGCAGAGGCAGAGGCAGAGGCAGAGGCAGATCTCTCTGAGTTTAAGGCCAGCCTGGTCTACAGAGCGAGTTCCAGGACAGCCAGGACTATACAGAGAAACCCTCCCTCAAAAACAAACAAACAAACAAACAAACAATCATCAATAATACTTCACAGATTCCCCCAATCTCAGCAAATTATTTTTGAATACTTCCAAGCAGGACAGCAATTAAACTCTCTTTTTAATGTTTATTTGTTTTGTGTGTGCGTGCATGAATCTGAGCAGATGTTCTTGTACCACACGCCGGTACTGCTGGGAGGAGACCAAAAGAACGACAGGGGGGTTGTGAACTTCAGTGCAGCGCTGGGACCTGAACCCAGACCCCACGCAGAGCAGCAAGTGCTCTCAACCACCGATCCGTCTCCCCAGTCCTAGTGATGTGATCCTCTACCCAGGTTAGAAATGTCACAGGAAACAAATCACTGCGACCCTAAACGGAAATGAACTCCACCATATTTCCCTCCCCTCCTCCGAAGTCTTGTGGGAAGTCTTCATCACTCCTGTGCCACGTCCAAATAAAAACGCCGCATTTTTACCTGTCCATGGTTACAGGCAGGGCTGTCCTATTAAACTCCCATGTGATGACTGCAGGCGGGGTGGATGAAATCTTGCATGAAAATCTAGCAACTCCCCCTTCATGGACTTCAGTGGACACTGGGTGGACTTCAAACGCAGAAATAGCTGTGACAAAACCGGACACATTTAGCCTAAGCACTCCGAAGCACGTTCACAAAGCACATTATATAGCACAGGCTAGCAGATCTGAACTCCCACTCAGCAATCTAGCTGAAAGAGCACAAAGATGATTTGATGACTACTTGGAAAAAGAGGGGAGAGGGATACCACTTGGCGAGTCTGTCTTTCCTAGAACTTAAAACTCTAAACATACGTAGCGAGGATTTTGGTTGCTTTAAAAACCCAGTTATGTGTGTGAATATGTTTTTGTTTTAATCCCAGGTGTGGGGCATGGGAGTGCTCCAGATTACCCACAGCAGCCAACTATAGTGTGTCTCGTGCTCTGGCAGGGACGTGATTAGTGCCAGCTGCAGCTTGTTTAATTCTGGGACCTCCTGAGAGGGTGTAAATGGGACATCCCCAAGAGGACCTGTGGTGACTGCTGCTCCTGCTGCTGCTGTGGCTGTTTGTCCTGCTGCTGTGTTTGGTGTTGCCTTTGCTATAGCTGGATTGCTGGTTTACTGGACTGCTGGATATTCTGTCAATGAGGACTGGATTTGCCTCAGGGAACTATGTGTCCCTAATCAGCAGGAAGTAGCCTATAGAGGTCTACACCCCTTTGCCCTCTAACCTTCTTTCTATCCTACCTAGTATTGTGGGGTTGGAAGGGATTAGGGTGTGAATAAGGGTTGGAGGAGTGGTAGGTATATAAACCAATAAAATAGGTTATTATATATATATTAATAATAATATATTATACATATGCAGGGAGTAGAGAGATGGCTCAGAGGTTAAGAGCACTGGCTGTTCTTCCAGAGGTCCTGAGTTCAATTCCCAGCACTCACATGATGGCTCGCTCACAACCATCTATAATGAGATCTGGTGCCCTCTTCTGGCGCGAAGACGTACATGACGACAGAACATTGTATACATAATAAATAAATAAATCTTTTTTAAAATATATGCCGACAAACATGGTCTCAGAAAAACATCTATCAGAAAGAAAACATGAACATACTTGAAAGAAAAATAATTATCCAAAAACACTATGTAGTTATACACCCAACAGGACAGTACAAACCAAATTCTACTGGATTTTAGGGGGAAGGGAAAATTAAAAACAAACGAGGGCTAAAGAGACGGCTCAGAAGTTAAGAGCAAGCATTGCTCTTGCAGAGGACCTGCACCAGGCAGCTCACAATTGTTTATAGTTCCAGCTCTAGCACACATGTATGGCGCGCGCGCGCGCGCGCACACACACACACACACACACACACACACACACAGTTAAAAATAAAATATTTTTTCAAAATACAGTAAAGACATACCATCCAGGTAAAAAAAACTACCTCTGTGAATTGGCTTTTGAAAAATCCACGGGATTCCAAAGAAAGAGGAAAAGGTATCATTTGAGGCAACATAACGCAAGCCCAGAGGAAAGGAATGGTAGCTTGCCTCTGCTCACAGGAGGTGAAGAAACAGGAAGACTGTCACAGGATATTCAGACCAAGCTGGCAGTGCCTCAGGATGAACTGAGAAGAGGAGTCTCAAAAGTCCAATGGGACCTAATGGGGGGCGGAGAACCGAAATACTGACCGCTCACGGGAAGGAGGGACGGTAACAATTTGTGTGAAGAACAAGTGGTGGAAAAACATAACGGCTGTTTCTAGCTCGTGCATTTAAAGGGGGTTAAACCCAATGAGCTGGTGTTTCCAGAGCTGGTTCTTCTTTCCTACATGAAGCAGGCCTCCGCAGAGCCCTCCCCAGAGTCCACAGTTCTGCACACTGAAGGAGTCCAGATGTCCCTCAGCTAAGCCTTCCAAGACAGGAAGACAGGGCCCTGGGGACGGTCTAACTCCCTTCCCAAGACTCCAGGTAAAAAAGCCTTCATGGTTTACCAGCAGAGACAGAAAATACGAAGAAGCACAGGCGACAATGATTCTCCATTAGATTGGAAAGGGCAAAAGGTCCCAGCAGGCTGCCAAAGTCTGCCCTGGGCTCAGCTTTATTTTTCTGTACACCAGCTTACTGGCCTTAAGAGGTACAGGGCTATAGCAACCAAAATATTCGCAGACGGATTTACTTTCAAAACCCTGGAATGAGGTAAAGTCAAACTTTGTTTGTGCCAGTAACAAATATTTCTATCCTTGCGGAACAGCAGCATTCACGCTGCCGATGTCAGTAGGTCCTCAGAGGGAAGAGACCATTTTCAAAATAACCATCATTTGCCTTTTAAATTTTCTTTTCTCTAGGGTGTATAGAGTTTTCTGAAATCTGAAGTACGGCAACAGGCCCAGACAAGACAGCACACTGTACATTCCCCTGTTAAGCTAAGTAAAGAGACCTATAGGGCTGGAGAGTGCTCCATGGTTCAGAGCATTGACTGCTTCTGCAGAGGACCTGGGCTGAGCTCCGAGCACCCAAATTAAGTGGCTCACAACTGTCTCTAACTCCAATTCAAGGAAACCTATGGCCCCTTCAGGCCTCCTGATGTGTTGTTTATATTAATAAGCAATGGAACAATGTTTTCATTTGAAAATAATGAAGGCCTAATAATTAAACCAGCCGGTTTAATTACTAATAGGAATTAGCAATAGATTTAAGGGCTGGGCATGGTGCAACCTCCCTTTACTCCCAGCACTTGGGAGGCAGAAGGGGTGGATCTTTGTGAGTTCGAAGCCGGCCTGGTCTACACAGTGAGTTCAGGCTCACCGAGGCTACCAACCTGTTTCAGAAAAACAAACAAACAAACAAACAAAAAGATATGTGACATAAAAGTTTTGGGATTCTCCCCAAGTTCAATCCCCAGAACCTGTGTGGCAGCTCACAACTGTCTGTACCTCGAGTTCCAGGTGCTCTAACACCCTCTCACACACAAACATTTGGGCAAAATGCCAATGCATGTAAAACAAAAATAAACAAATACATTTTTTAAAAGTTGTGGGGTCCTCAAAACGTTTTAAGAGTATAAAGAGCAAACTAAAAGTTCCAGAACCACTATCCAAGAACATCAAACTCTAAATACCAATACAAATATTCCTTTTTAAAAATAAAAACTCATTTTACTTATTTTCTGTGCTTTAGGGGGTACACACATTCCACAACATGAACATGATAACCACAGGGGAACTAGTGGGAGCTGGTTTTCTCCTTCAACCAGGTGGGTCCCAGGGATCAAACTCAGGCTCATCAGTCTTGGTGAGAAGCACCTTTACTCAGTGAGCCATCTCACTGGCCCCAACTTTTCCTTTTGAGGCTCCTTTCTAGGACCCTTCTCTACAAACACATTAACTCTGGGTTGACTGTAGACCACCGCTGCACTGGGAGAGGGCTGGTAAAGCACTGTGCAAGCTTGAGGAGATGCAAGCTTGAGGAGATGGTCCCTAGGGAGCACGCGGAAAGCCAGGTCCAGCTGTGGGTGCCTGCGAGCCCAGCCCGGGGGTCCTGGGCTAAATAAAAAGCAGCAAGGCAGGTGAGCCCAGCCCTCCCTTCTCTAGCTTTTGATGCAACCTGACCAGCACCTCAAGCTCCCGCTGCTGGGACTCCCCAACCTCACAGACTACACCCACTGGGAGTCTAAATAAAGCCTTTCCTTTTCGAGTAGCTTTCGTCAGGTATCTCATCCTGGCAATGAGAACAGTAACCAGTAGTTCCCTTTACAAATAAGCTCCACACCCGCACCAGCGTTTAACACACACAGCTGCACCCGACTCACGCTTAACTTAGGGGCCTCCCAGGGCGACCTGCTAATTCCAAAGCCATAGTCTCAAACACGCATAAAAACTGATTCCAATGCAAACGCTGTCTGAAAGAATCATCGTGGAAATCTTCCTTCTAAGTCTTTGAATTAGGGGCTGGAGCAACGGCTCAGTGAAGAAAAGCATCAACGCACTGCTCTTACAGAGAACCTCGGTTTATTTCCCAGCACCCGTGTCAGGTGGCTCTCAACGGCCAATGGCTCTGACTTCTGAGGTACCCGAACACCCACGCATGCGTGCACTCTCTCACGCACACTTGATAAAAATTAACCCTGCCTTTAATCCCAGTACTGGGGAGGCAGAGGCAGGCAGATCTCTGTGAGTTCAAGGCCAGCCTGGTCTACGTAGCCAGTAGCAGGACAGCCAGGGTTACACAGTGAGATCCTACTTCAAAGCACTAAGTAGGTAAGTATGGGGCTGGAGAGATAGTTCGGCAGTTAAGAGCACTGGCTGCTCCTCCAGAGAACCCAGTTTCAACCACAGCCCCCACACGGCAGCTCACAAATGTGTGTACCTCCCGCTCCGGGGGCTCTGACTCCTTCACACAAATACGCAGGCAAAACACCAACCTATGTAAAATAAAAACAAATAAAGGTAATTATTTAAGTTAGATCTCTAAATTGGTTAAGGTAATTACTGGACAGATAGAATGTATTTTGTATCCTTGGTACAGTAAAAGGAAAGGATGAGGTTGTTAATGCCAGATACACAGTCAACAGGCTGGCTTTGGGGAGGTGCAGAAAGCAATTTGGCATCAATTACTTCAAGACAAAACTCTACTTAAGCAGTCACTTTTAACTTACATAAAGGTACGTGTAACAGCTCAGGGAACCGAACCCAGGTTTTCACACATGCCACCACTGAGTCACATCCCTAGCCTATAAAGCCTTCCACAGATTGCTACAGTTTGGATACAAAACGCCCCCTCCCACCAAAAAAAAAAAAAAAAATCTCTGCTCTTAACAGTATTCTGTAAAATGATGATGCAAAGAAGCCGATTTCCACGAGTCCTACGTCAACATCAACCCTGCTGTTCACACAATTACCTGACTCATCTATCTGGTGTCAAGCCGTGTGGATCGACTCCAGCTAGGTTAACTGACTCCTGGCTGGCAAAATATTTTAATCATATTCCCATCAGAAAACTTTCAGACCAAAGTGATCCCTCCTGAGCTTGCCGACTCATTCAACAAATATTTATCTGGTGTCAGGTGCACTCCAGGTGGTAGGAACCCAACGAAGGACAAA